CAGCAGCAAGATATAACAATTATAAATATACGTGCACTTGAACTATTTTGAATACATAATTTATGGTATTGAAGGGAGAAAGAGACAATTCAACAAAAGTAGTTGGAGACTTTAGTACTCTACTGTCAGTAACTGATGGAACAACTGGACAGAAGAGTAGCAAGTGTGTAGAAGATTGAAGAACAGGATCATCCTGACGTAATGGTACACATATAGTACACTCCACTCATGAACAGTATAGTATACCTCCTTTTCAAGCAAACATGGAACATTCTCCAGGATAAACCATATATAATACATATAAAACATATAATAATGTTAATACATTTTAAAGGATTGAAATAATAAAACATACTTTCTGAATAAATGGAAGTTAACAATAGTTAATTTAGGAAATTGACAAATATTTGGTAATTTCTAAATAACCCTTTGGTCAAAGAAAAAGGAAAATGAGAAAATATTTTGAAGTGAATATAAATAAAAATATCATATTAAAATCTGTGCTAGCAGGGGCACCTGGGTCTCTCATTTGGTGAAGTGTCTGCCTTTGGCTCAGGTCATGATCCCACAGTCCTGGGATCAAGCCCCATGTCGGTCTGTCTGCTTGTCGGGGAGCCTGGTTCTCCCTCTACCTCTCTGCCATTCCACCTACTTGTGTGCACTTGCTGTTTCTGTCAAATAAATAAATATGATCTTTAAAAGAAAATTTAAAAAAGAATCTGTGCTAGCAGCTGAAGCAGTGCTTAGAAGAAATGTCTGTTTTAGACGCCTGGCTGGCTGAGTTAGTGGAGCATGTGACTCTTGATCTTGGGGTTGTAAATTTGAGCCCCATGTTGGATTTAGAGATTACTTAAAAATAAAATCTTAAAAAAAATAGAAGAGATGTCTGTGTTCAAGTGTTTATATTAAAAAAGAGAGAGACCTCAATAATCTAAGCTCTCACCATAAAAAAATCTATAAAAGAATAATAAAGCCAAAGACAAGCAGAAGGAGGAAATAATAGGTTGGAAATTAATGAAATAGTGAACAGAAAAATGAGAGAGAAAACTATCAGTAAAACTAAAGTTGGTTCTTTGAGCAGCACCTTGGTGGCTCAGTCAGTTAAGCATTCAACTCTTTGTTTTAATTAATTATTTTTATTAACACATAATATATTATTTGCCCCAGAGTTACAGGCCTGTGAATCATCAGGCTTACACACTTCACAGCACTCACCATATCACATATCCTCCCCAATGTCCATAACCCAACCACCCTCTCCATACCCCAACTCCCCCCAGCAACCCTCAGTTTGTTTTGTGAGATTAAGAGTCTCTTATGGTTTGTCTCCCTCCTGATCCCATCTTGTTAGCATCCAAATCTTGATTTTGGCTCAGGTCATGATCTCAAAGTCACAAGATCAATTCCCACATGGGCTCCATGCTGAATGTGGAGCCTCCTTAGGATTCTCTCTCTCCCCTTCTCCCTCTGCCCCTCCTCCCCACTTGCACTCTCTTTAAAAAAAAAAAAGAATAAAGAAGTTGGTTCTTTGAAAACAACAACACAACTGGCACACCTTTAGGAAGACTAAGGAAAAAAGACACCGATCACTAAAATTGAGGGAGGGATGTCTAAGCAGTTTAGTTGATTAAGCATCCACCTCTTGATTTTGGCTTAGGTCATGATCTCAGGGTCTTGGGAACCAGCCCTGCATTGGGCTCTGTGCTTAGCATGGAGTCTGCTTGAGAATCTTTCTCTCCTTCTGCCCCTGCTTAAAATGCTCCCTGTCTAAATAAATAAATAAATAAATAAATAAAATCTTAAAAAAAAAAAAAGAAGGGAAGTTACTGCTGACTGACCTTCAGATATTAAAAAGATTACAGTAGAATACTCTGAAGAACTGTATCCATCTTAATGTAGATGAAGTGAACGAATTTTAGAACATCACATATTACCAGAATTGACTCAAAGGAAGTATAAAACTTGAGTAGACCTATGAAAAGGAAAGAAATTGATTAACATAGTATTCCTACAAAGGCAGAGACCCAGATGGCTTCACTGCTAAATTTTATAAAATGATAAGAAATAATACTAGTGTTCATAAATTCTTCCCTGAGGAATTTTCAAAACCAAAAGCCCAAGATACCACATGGATAGAAAAACAGACTAGTATTTTTCATAGACTATAGGTGCAAATTCCTTGTACAAAATATTAGCAAAGCAAATTCAATGGTATATTTAAAAGATTATCACTATGACAGTGTGAGATTTTTCCCAGTAGTAACCAGATTTGTTTAATATCCAAAAATCAATCAATGTAACATACCATATTAATAGAAAGAGTTAAAACCACACAGTCATGCCAATAAACATAGAAAAGGTATTTGACAAGATTCCATATCTGTTGATGATTAAAACTCTTAACAAGTAGCAGTAAACTTCCTCAACTTGATAGAAGATGTCTCTGAAAAACTACTAGGGAATATCATAGTTACTGGTGAAAGACTGAATGCTTTTCCCCTAAAATAGGGACAAGTCAGGGATGTTCACCTGACTTCTTTGGTTCAGCACAGTACTGGAGATTCTAGCTAGTACTGCCAGGGAAGAAAAGGAACCATAAGATATCCTGATTTGAAAGAAAACATTAAACTGTCTTTATTTGCAGGTGATGCCATCCCCTATATAGAAAATATTAAGGAATCTTAAAAAAAAAAAAATAGAACTAACAATTAATTGTTCAGGTGGGCCACAGAATAAAATATCAGTATAAAAAATTATCTTTCTAAACATGAACAATATATAGCTTAAAAATAAGATTCTGTTCAGAATAACATGAAAAAGAATAAAATATTTAAGGAATACATTTGATAAAATAAGTGCAAGACTTGTATACTGAACATGACAAAAATTTGCTGAGCAAAATTAAATCAGATATAAATAAATGCAGACATTTTTGTTCATAGGTTGGATGACATAATATTCTAAGAGAATTCTCCTGCAGTTGAGTTATAGATTCAACTCAATCTGTGTAAAAATTCCAGCAGGCTTTTTCCCAGGAAATGATAAGCTGATCGAAAATTTATGTGGAAATGCAAAGGACAGGAATTGCCAGAACAGTCTTACAAAAGAACAAAGTTGGAGGATTTTTTCTACTGAATTTCAAAATTTTAAAGCCACAGTTAGTTATGGGCTCCTGGTTGGATCAGTCGTTAGAGCATGCGAGTCTTGATCTTGGAGTTCTAAGTTCAGGTCTCTTGTTGGGTGTAGAAATTAACTTACAAACAAAATCTTAGGGGTGTCTGGGTGGCTCATTTGGTTATGAATCTGTCTCTTGATTTTGGCTGAGGTCATGATCTCGAGGTCACATGCCCCATGTCAGGCTCCTTGCTCAGCAGGGAATCTGCTTGAGATTATTTCTCCCTCTCCTTCTGTCCGCTCCCCATAAATAAATCTTTTAAAAATAAATAAATGAAATCTTTTTTCTTTTTTTAAAGCTACAGTTACACAAGACGTTGTGCTGGCAGGAAGTAGACATATATAGATCACTTGATTAGAATTATGAATCCAGTAGTCAGTTCATTTTCAACAAGGGTGCTGAAGTAGTTCAGTAGAGAAAAGGTTTGTTTTCAGTTCTTGCTGGGACAACTGGATGCAGCTCCATCCCATGCAAAAAGATGAACTTTGACCTATGCTTCACACCATACAGAAAGAATAACTTAAAATTGATCATAGACATAAATATAAGAACTAAAACAAAGCTACAAAAAAATAGAGGAAAAATCTTTAAGACCTTGGAATTGTCAAAGGTTTTTATGAGGTTATAAGAGAAAAAGATAAATTGGACCTTATCAAAATCCCAAATTTCTGTGCTTCAAAATGTACTGTTAAGAAAATAAGAAAGGCAAGCAACAAAATGGTTAAAATATTTGTAAAACTTTTTTTTTTTTTTAATTGTATCCAAAATTTTCAAAGAACTCCTGTAAAGGAACTGGAACCGTCATATATTACTAGTGGGAATGTAAAGTGGTACAGTCAGCAGTTTGTCAGTTTCTTAAAAACACAAAGTTACCTCTTGATGCAGTAATTAATACTTCTTAGACATCTACCTGAGACCCAAATACATGTTCTCACAAAGACTTGAATGTGATTGTTCATAGCAGTATTAATTTTCGTAACCAAAAAGTGGAAACAAATGTCCTTCACCTGGTAAGTGGGTTGACAAAATATGGAGTATCCATATAATAGGTAGTATTCAGCAATTAAAAAAAATGAACTATTGACATGTGTTAAAACATGGATGAACTTCAGAAATTTTATGTAAAGTGTAAGGAGCCATACATAGAAGCCATGTATTGTCTGAAAGGAATGTATTGTAAGAAAAGGTAAATTTATAGAGAGAGAGTTAGATTTAGTGATTGCCTAGGGCAGTGAGTGATAGGTAAATGGATCTTACTGGGATGAGGAAACTGTTCCAAAACTGATTTATGGCTCTGGTTGCATCACTGGGTAAAGTTACTAAAAATCATTGAATTATATACTTAACAGTGAGTTGGTTTTATTATATGTTAAATGTGTCTCAAAAAAAGTATTTTTAAAAAGCAAATGCAGGGAATTATATAGCATTATCTTTAACCAGAAGCCTAAAATGTTTATATCACCTTTTTTTAAAACAAGGTACATCTAAAATGTAAGGATACATTTTTAAATTTTCAGTTACTTTGAATGTTTAATACTCTAGTTTTAGAGCCAGGATCACTGGAAATACCAGTGGAACTCCTTTCAGATTGATGTTGCCATATGTGTATATACTTTTTATGCAGCCATATCTCCTAGATTGAAAACAGAAAACCTACTATATCTTTCTTGTTTTTGAAAATCATAACACTTTCCTGCTGTTATAGGTTTGATACTGTTCCTTCAACTTTTGATGAAAGGCACCAAAACCATTTAAAATGAGCTTTGCTTTCTGTTTCTTCATTTACTACATTTTTCTCTTTTTGTTCTGTTTTACTTTGTTTTAGATCACTGTGTCCACTACTATGATCTTCGTAACACTAAGCAGCCAATCATGGTATTCAAAGGACACCGAAAAGCAGTATCTTATGCAAAGTTTGTGAGTGGTGAGGAAATTGTTTCTGCGTGAGTATTACTCTCCTGAGGTTAAGCTTAATACAGAGCTCTGTCATCATTTACCAGTTTTATAATGTCACTGTGGGTATCGGTAAAGAGCAACACCGTGGTATATGTACTTTTTCATAAATAGAAGATTTTAAAAATAATTCTCTAATTAAAATAAATGTATATTTTGGATTGTATTGCTCACTTTTTTATGCTTTTTATGAATAAAATCCTGATGTTGATAGTTTTTAGTGCTTCAGCATTTGAACTTCAGACTGGATTTCAGCCACTGATTCTCCATAAGAGAAAAACAACATAGTTGATGGAATAAAATGAGAAGTACTTTATCTATTAAAATCAGTGTGTTAATTGTGTATTTACCTACATTACAGTATAGTAGTAGTATTTTTGGTTTTAGGTAATATTTGGTTGATTCTATGTTACTTGATTTCCCTGTGGTTTCATGGTAAGTTTTAAATATGTTTTGGGAAAATAAGTAAATATGGCTTATACTTGACAGATATCCTTTGAGAAGCTGTCTGTGCTAGAGAATTATAATGTAGGCTTTTAATTGTCTTTTATTTTGTTTGAAGGTTAACAAGATGTCATCTCGATAAATAAACCTCAGTTGCCAAAGTATCGTTGACAAAGTGCTTCTAACAGGCAGTCTCTTTTCTATTAACCCATTTCATAGTTCTTTTTATTTTATTCATCTTTAAGAGACTTTATTTACTTATTTGAAAGAGAGAGCACTAGCAGAGGGAGAGGGTGAAGTGGGCCCCTCGCTGGGCAGGGAGCCTGACACAGGGATCCATCCTGGGACCCTGAGATCATGACGTGAGCTGAAGGCCAATGCTTAAGTGACTAAACTCCCCAGGCACCCCCTCTTTATTTATTTTTTTTTAATTATTATTTTTTTAAAAGATTTTATTTATTTATTTGACAGAGATCACAAGTAGGCATAGAGAGAGAGAGGAGGAAGCAGGCTCCCCAGTGAGCAGAGAGCCTGATGCGGGGCTCAATCCCAGGACCCTGGGATCATGACCTGAGCCGAAGGCAGAGGCTTTAACCCACTGAACCACCCAGGCGCCCCACCTCCTCTTTATTTTATATTACCCTAACAAATAACCATTCTTAATTTCTCTCTTTTTTGTATCTGTTATTTCTTTTCATGCTTCATGATACATTGCTTTCTTCTTTTCACTCCCCCCCCCCACTTAGTTTCTAATTTCTAATCTTAGGAGATTATTAATGCCAGTGCCTTGGCATTAATACTTGGTATTTCCCACCACATCTACCTCTATTCTGGTCTCTCTAGATAATAAGTTGGTAATTTGAATTGATTTAGCAAGGTAATTTGAACTGAATTACAAACAAGGGAAAAAAAGTGAGAACTGAATTTTCCAAGGGAAATAAGGGAACTTAGGTAATTAGTTCACAAACTTAAATTAGTGTTAACAGATCAAAATGTATCCTGTCTTTAGGAATAATAATGGGCAGTATACAATTAAAATTTTATTCAGATTCAAATGTGGATGGTAGATTATATGGCAAAAATATTTTTCTTTAACTTCAGATTTATAAATGTTAAATCAGTTTGATTTCCAGTAGTTGAAATATATGTATACTTAATATTATAAAGTTAGGAAATTTTAACTGACCTTATTAATGTGGATATGTTTTTTGTATTTTCACCGATCTCTTGTCCTGCTTAAGTTTTATAAATCATGATTTTCTTTTCTTGAATATGTTTGAGGTTTAGAAGTTTTTAGAATAAATTTATCCACAACTTTATTTGGAAATGTTAAAAAGTAATATTAAAATATACATATATTGCCACAACGTGAATTCCTGGCCAATAAAAACATTACAGACCTAAAGAAATATTCAATGCAACATTGTTGGGAAAAAAATTAAAACAACATAAATGTCTATTGAAAAAATGATGAGAAGCCATAGAGAAGTATGTAAAGAGCTTGGAGTTTGGCCTCTTTAATAAGACAGTTTCAGTCTTGGCTTTGCTGTTGACTAGCTGTGGCACCTTGAAAATGTCCTTAACTTTCTCATGTTCAGTTGCCTCATCTCTAAACTGGAGCTAATAATAGTTATTATGTTGTGACTCTTTAAATGAAGTAATAAATGTAAAGCATTCAGCATGGTACCATATTCTGTGAATGTTACAGTAAGAGGAAAGATGATTTATTGTGTAGTCATAACAAAGATATCAAAATATGTTTATTTTACAGAAAAATTATAAACCAAATTATCGAATAAAGGATAAGCAATTTGGGCATCTGGGTGGCTCAGTGATTAAGTGGCTGCCTTCCGCTCAGGTCATGATCCCAGGACCCTGGGATCGAGGTCCACATCAAGCTCCTTGCTCAGTGGGAGGCCTGCTTCTCCCTCTCCCACTCCCCCTGCTTGTGTTTCTTCTCTCACTGTGTCTCTCTCTGTCAAATAAATAAATAAAATCTTTAAAAAAAAAAAAAGTATAAGAAATTTACAACCTAATGTGTATGGTATGATTGGAATTTTGTAACAAAAAGAAAAACAAAAACATGGTCTTTTATTCAAGTTCTAAAACTGGCTCTGTATGATAAGATTACCAACAGTCTTTACATTCAATTAATTTTTGGCAAGTAATTGCATTTGCCTATTATTTCAGTAAATAAATTACTTTATATAGACTATTCCAGTCATTCATTATGTTCCACCTCTGTAGATACAACTAAGCTGTCACAATAGGTTAAATTTAGTATACCAATGCAATTCAATAGTTGAAAAGTTAATCAAGTCAAGTGGGATAGAATGTATCCCTGAAATTAAACACAACTCCCAACGGGACTCTTGTTATTTGGTGGTGGTGATGTGATAGTCTTGATGAGTAATGTTTACTATTAAGCACTTCCTACATGCCCAGGGACTATTAGAAACATTTTAAATGAATTAGTTTTCACGTCCTATAGAATTTATCTAATTCAGTAATGTAGGAATCACTCTATTTCACAAATAACAAATGAACAAAATGGAGCCGAAGAGGCTATATAATTTTCCCAAGGCCAAAAGCAAATGAATGGTATATTGAACATTATAACTCAGAAAATCTGGCTCCATATTCTGCATCCTAAGGCACCAAATTGGCTTGCCTCTAATTAGTAGGGATGCATTTCAGACCATGAAATCTTTTTTTTTTTTTAAAGATTTTATTTATTTGACAGGCAGAGATCACAACTAGGCAGAGAGGCAGGCAGAGAGGAACCAGGCTCCCCGCTGAGCAGAGAGCTAGATGCGGGGCTCGATCCCGGACCCTGGGATCATGCCCTGAGCCGAAGGCAGAGGCTTAACCCACTGAGCCACCCAGGCTCTCCCAGACCATGAAATCTTAATTGCATTCTCCTTTTTTGTGTTTACCTCAGCTCAACAGATAGCCAGCTAAAGCTGTGGAATGTAGGGAAACCGTACTGTCTACGTTCCTTCAAGGGTCACATCAATGAAAAAAACTTTGTAGGCCTTGCTTCCAATGGTGATTATATAGCTTGTGGTAAGTAAAACCATCTTTTCCTGAACTTTCTAACAGGAATTTGTCCCCGAAATTGCATTCAACGAACATATACTATATACCTAGTCAGGAAGTGATCTGTACATCCAGATAGTAGCATACTGAATTCTTCTGGGATTGTGCTGAAATAAGCATTAGTCCTTCCCTCCTTTAGTGAGCACAAACCCTTACTGCGTGAAATAGCATAAGATTGTTAAATATGTTTTATAATTGTTCTCCATTGTAACTAATTTCTATAGATACTATGTAAAAGAAAACATTAATTTCTGCTAATGTCCTAATTTCAGAGACATTATTTGTCTTCCTAAGCTTGATACTCATTTTCCCCTACAGAGCATTCCCTTCGTTAAGCAGTTTGTTTAGATTATCCTGATCTGGTATTCTAGGGCTTTTGTTGTTGGTAATTTATACAACTTTACATCAGAAGTAGAAAAATCAAATTAGGTAATGTTCAAATGCATAATACACCTACTATCTAATATATGAACTTTCATCAGTTCTTTTCAAATGACTTGACCTTTATTTAGTAAAGTTGTATATATAATGTAAACCCTGCCAAAGCAAATCTCTTATAATTATTTTACTTGATAGGCTACTCAAAAATATAGTTTTCCTTATAGGCCAGTTATGTAATAGAGTGGTGTCTTTATTGGGGAATGGGACATAAATTTTGTAGGTTATTAAAAATCTGCCTTTGTAAGTACTATAATCCCCCCCTCCCTAAAAATCTTTCTAAGTGTCATGTAAGATTCACACTGTAATAACAAATTTCTTGTCTTCTTTAAACCTCTGCTATAAATGAAATTTTGGCAGTAATTTTAACCTTACAGTTATCAATGTTGTTAAATTATTTACCAGTTATTATTTCTTTAGATTAGTAAAGTATAGCTTTTTTTCTATGATTCTTTTTCTCACATGATTCCCAAGAAATCCTGTGCTCTGGTCTTTCAAATTCAACCATAAAAGTTTTGTCTTTGAGCTTAAACATTAATTAATAATTATTCTATGAATGTGACATCCTAATTCTGAATTCTCCCAATCTAAAAAATTATTTATTTAAACTTTTTTTTCAGGAAGTGAGAACAACTCTCTTTATTTGTACTATAAAGGACTTTCTAAGACTTTGCTAACTTTTAAGTTTGATACGGTCAAAAGTGTTCTGGATAAAGACCGAAAAGAAGATGATACAAATGAATTTGTTAGTGCTGTGTGCTGGAGGGCACTGCCAGATGGGGTAAGTGTTCATGTCAGTTTTTTCTTCTTGATGTCTCATATAACACTTTCTGTCTATGTATTCACATCTGAATTTTTTTAAGTTTAATATAAAAATTGATATGTGATACAGATTTTCTTTTTCGCTTAGTATTGCATCATCAAAGTCAATAAGCATTTTAGGTAGTAATTGAAATATCACTAATAGAAGAGCATCACATTGATAAAATGTCTCTCCTGTGTGCCCATAGCATATTGTACATACCTCTGTTTTATCATTATCACATTGTCTATTTATATCTCTAATATAAGACTGGAAATTTCTAGAATACATACTGTGTCTCATTTTCCCTAATGATCATTTACAGTATATACTCAATAAACATTTAGCAGAATCTGGTATTGTCTTAGCAAGAAAAAAATTGGATGTAGGTAAAGGAGAGTGTCCTATATGTACACCTAATTAAATATTATTTCAGGGCAGAGTTCCTGTCTATAAATGCACTTATATAAGAATATTTAAAAACATTTAATTTCTTAATAAGAAAGTTGTACTTCTAAACTGTGAAATAAAGTTTTCTTAAACTTGTCACTTATTTTTTTTTAATTTTAATTTTAATTTTTTTTTTAAGATTTTATTTGTTTGACAGAGAGAGAGAGATCACAAGTAGGCAGAGAGGCAGGTAGAGAGAGAGAGAGGGAAGCAGGCTCCCCGCTGAGCAGAAAGCCCCATGCGGGGCTCGATCCCAGGACCCTGAGATCATGACCTGAGCCGAAGGCAGAGGCTTTAACCCACTGAGCCACCCAGGCGCCCCAACTTGTCACTTATTTTAAAGGATAAGCTTTCTCATAAGCTGTATGAAACAGTAGTTCTTTTTATTATCTTGATTTTTATAAACAGTCATTCACTAATGTCATCTTCTTGAAAAAAATAGCTCTTTAGGTGCTTACTTGGTTGTTTTTATTTTTGAACCAAAAAATTCTTTCTTGATGGGTGCTTTGAGAATTCTGAGTTGCTGATACTATGTGACTTTAATTAGCTATATTCCATTCCTATCTTACTTAAAGTTCTGTTAATCAACTTCCAGTTTTGGCAGTGGTAGACTAGGTGATTTATACTAATCTTCCCTGTAAGTAGAACTAGAAAAGTTGGGCCAAGTATATTTATTTTAAAAACAACAACATAAACCTGTTCAAAGACTTTGGAATGTAAATAAGATAGAAAAGAATTAATGGCATAGGAATGGAAACCTGGCTTTGGAGTATGCTTTTCCTCTGGGAGCCTTTGGCACTCTTGGTAGAATGGCTGAGAACACTTATGGCAGCTTCACAGGGGGACACGTATTAGAATTTAGTGCTCACCACTACGTGGGTGAACTTACTTTGGTTTAGGGCTCCAAAAAGGGCTGTAGTCTAGGGTAAACCAGTAGAAGATAAACTCTCAAAATGATTGCAACTCCAGATCATATCAGTCCTGAAATTAAATTGAAATGATCCTGTATTGCTAGTTAAACTTAAATCCTCTTTGAAGGAAGATCTAAAAAAGATCATCTGGGAACTTATTTTGTTTTAAATTGCAAATACAGTAACTAAGTCACAGTAAATAACAGACAGACATAGGAAAAGGCAAAATGTTGTGAATAAATTTAGCCTAAACAGTGGACAACAGGAACAAAATCACAGCAGCCCTGGATATCAGAATTATCAAATGTAGCTTAAAAATAACCATGCTGACAAGATAAAAGATAAGATAGAAAATTTCAACTGGGAAGTAAAAAATTCTAACTCCCCAAATTAAGAACTCAGTGGATGGATTGTATGGAAGAAAAGAGAGTCAATGAACTTTCAGTATGTTAGAAGAAAATATACAGAAGGAAGCATGGAGAGAAAAATAGGATAAAAAAAATACAGAAAAGAAATGAAGGATGAAGTAAGAAAGTTTAATATATTCAATAGAAGACCTAAAAGGAGAGAAAAGAAATAATACAACTGAAGCAAATATTAGAAGAATTATCGTTCAGAACTTTACAAAATTGATGAAAGACATCAAGGCAGAGATTCATTAAGCCCTTGTACCCCAAAGAGTAAATTTACAATGTGAGTAGAGATTTAATATTATATTTGGACCATGAAGAGACTTAAGTGTGCCTGAAACTCTGACCTTGGATCTGCTTTCTCATGGTAGTACTTCGTGAAAATGTGCTGAGTTAGGGACAAACATGGAATATTATTGCTAGCAGCTAGTTATCTGTTAAATTTACTATGAAACTCCATCTGTGCTATTGCACGTGGACTTAGAGAAATGTGAATTGGCATATCGGCTTTACATCTATCCAAAGTGAGCAATATAAGATTGACAGGAAACCAAGGCACATCTCTGTATCTAGAACCCCATGTACCCTATCTGTCCTTAGCAAATATGCATACTCTTTGTGTGGGTTCAGGAGAGATGCAAGAGGCTATGCATGTGTATAGTTGCTTGCCCTCCTCATGAGTTTGAAGATGTTGTGCATGCTGAATTTCCTATCCTATATACCTCTATAAAGCTAACTAACCTAGTGGAAGACTAAAGCTAATTGTGTCTGGTCCTGTGACCCCTGCTGGTGGTAGGACAGCCACACCTTGATACACCATAATCAAACTATAGAAAATAAAATGCAAAGGGAGTTTTTTTTTCCATTTATTTATTTGTCAGAGAGAGAGAGAGAGAACACAAACAGGGATAGCAGCAGGCAGAAGGAGAAGCAAACTCCGTGCTGAGCAAGGAGCCTGATGTGGGGACTTGATCCCAGGACCCAGAATCATGACTTGAGTCAAAGGCAGACGCTTAACTGACTGAGCCACCCAGGCGTCCCACAAAGGAAGATTATTAAAAGAAGGCAGAGAAAAAGTCACTGTCTTCAGAAGACCAGCAATTAGACTGATAGCCAATTTTTTCATGAAGCAATAGAAACCAGAGGTGGTGGAACCAGATCTTTACTGTGTAAAGGGAAATACCTGCTGGTCTATATTTCTCTAGCCAGTGAAGATCTCTTAAGACAAAAGCAATATGAAGACATTTTTAGATAAATAATAATGAAGAATTTGCCACCAGTAGACCTATAGTAAAGAAAACCTGAAAGGATATTTTTAAGGCAGGAGGAAATGATGCAGAACCTAAAGATGAAAGTCCCAGATGTCCAAAGGAATGGAAAAAGATGAAGGAATGGAAATGGCAAAAAGGAATAGAAGTGGTAATATGTAGTAAATCTAAATGCCTATTGACTTTGTAAAGCAGTGATACCTTGTTGGATTTAATAAGCACATAGAATTAAGTATTTGATAGTAATAAGCCAGAAGGGTAAATGTGATTAAAATGTTCTCAGGAATTTTCCTTGTCAGGGAAGGAGGTAAAAAAACTATTAGACTGAAAGGAATGCATATTCTAGTTGATAGGATAACCTTTCTAAAGTAGATTCTTCAAGTATACTACCTAGATCATCATCATCAGCGTCACCTGGGAACTTGCTTTATTTCCCAGTAAAAAGTTGAAAAGTTCTTTAACTCACTTCATTATCAGTCCAGATTTATTTTAAATTTGATTTTTGCATAAGTCACTTTGTGCATGAAAAGTAACTTCATTTCCCTATTTTAGATGAGGCAGAAAGTGTGAGAGAGTCTTATTTATTTAACAAATATTTATTGTATGTAGTCATGGTTCTACATATGGAGGATAAACTTGAACAAAACTTTAAGAAAAATTCTGGGCCTCTTAGGAGAATCTCTTAGGAGACTTAAAATTTTATGTGCTGGAGGAGACGGAAAAACAAAATAAATAAATAGTTGTATTAGAAGGTGTTGAGTGACTTGGAGGAAAACAAAGCAGGAGAGTGCGACAGGGAGTGCTGGAATAAGGAGTTGTAGTTTTCAGTGGTGGTGACAGAATCACCTACCTGAGTAGCTGAATTAGAGCAAAGACAAGGACATAAGATGTAATCCATGTTTAAAGGTGGAAGGGCATTCCAGGTAGAGCAAACAGTTCAGAGACCTTGAAGTAAGAAAGTAATTAGTGTTCAGTGGTTATATCAGTAATAGTGATCAGCGATAGTGATCAATAGTAGTGATCAGTAATAGTGGCCTTAAGAAAGGAGTCCAGTGTGGTTGCACTACAGTGAACTAGGTGGAGAGTAGTCAATCTCAGAGTGGGGGAAGATGAACCATTTCAACAGAACATTGTTTACTAACGTCTGGACTGTAGCTTTTATCCGGTGTGAGTTGGAGCCATTTTAGGATTTTGAACAAAGGAGTGATTAAATGTGACTTCAGTTTTTTAAAAATCAGTTTGGCTTTTGGAAAATAGACAATAAGGTGTCAAGGAACCAATAAACTGCATGTGGAGAGTGAAAGAGAAAAGTCTAGGATGACACTGAGATTCACCCTCCACCCCCGCAGCTTTAGGAGTGGAGTTGCCAGTAACTGAGAAGACTACCAGAAGAAGTGCCTTAAAGGAGAACAGGAGGTGACGTTTAGACTGGTTCAAGTTTGAGACATACTTGTCTTCTAAGTGGATATACCAAGTTTGGAGTTCACAGCAGACTGTGGGGCCAGAGATAGGCATTGATAGCTGTGAGCTTGTTTAAGCCAAGAAATTGGATGGTATCTCTGCAAGGGAGTATAATTAGATACTAGAAGTGTGTGAATACCATACTTTGAAGAGTTCCTTAGTGTTCAGTGATTAAAGTGACAAGGAGTAATCAACAAAGAGTGAGAAAGAGTAGTTCTCTCTATAGTAGAAAACTGGTACCTGGGAAGCCGAGTGAGAAAGTTTTTCAAGGAGGCGAGATTGATTGGCTTTGTCAAATGTTACTAATACAAGTAAGATGAGTAAAAAAAGTGAAAGGAGTGGTATGAGAAAAACTTGATTGGAGTGGTTTTAAGAAAGAAAGGGAAGGGAGAAGTTGGAGATAGTGAAGTACAGAGAGCTATTTTGGGGAGTAGTAAAACAATACCATGTTTAATCTGACCTAGATTACTTTGTTAAAA